ATCCATTTTTATTTGGTAAGATAAATGCAAATCAAATTTTACAAATAATTAGTTTATCACATAATCTAGTAATTATCTTAAAAATTTGACCATTATCTTTTAATTAGATGAGGATATCCATTACCATATCAGAAAAAACGATTTTAATCAGTTAAAACAACTTATGGTAATTATCCTTATCTAATTTAGGTTTAAAATCCTAAAATTGTGCAGTCAGACGAGTCAACTCGTCGAGTCAGGCTTTGGACTCGTCGACTCCCATAATGGACTCATCGAGTTCATCTGGCAGAGTCTAGATTTCGACTTCTTTCAGCTTTGAACAATTAACCATGGCATCAAATATAACAGAAAAACACCCTAAGCTCTGATACCACTTATGGGTTTTGAGTACTACATCATTCCTATGGTGCACATGCAACCCTAATGCTTTGGATCTAGGTTTTTCTCAAGTTATACATGCAATACTAATCATCCAAAGCATGAACCCTAACTAGCATACAATTTTCGAGATTTATAACATAAAACCAAGTTAGAAGAATACCTTTTCCTTGTAGCTTGTAGATCTTGACCTTCAAGAGCTTAGTACCTCAATTGTTGCACCTCTAGTGAGTCACAAACACCAAGAAGCAATTGGAAGAATATGAGAGAGGTTAGGAGGCAACCCAATTGTTGCACCTCTAGTAAATCATAATTAACCTCTTTTTCCATAATTCTTCCTATCAAATTGCTATGGTGAAGGCAACCCAAATGGACCATGCTACTATCGGGTCAAGTACATACCAATTATAGTTATGGGCTTAGACACCTAATCCAACAGTTGGATCTAGTTTATAGTGTATTTTGTACATTTTTTTAGTCCCTTGGAGTAAAGATGGGCTTTTGATCTATTCTAGAGGCAATGGATGCTAGATCTTAGCTTTATTCGGTCCCCGTGATCATAAAAAATGTCAACTTTATGGAGTATTTTGATCCATGCATGTATTAAGACCTTTGCGAAGCTCTTTTAAGCTCTTGTGTCCCATTAACCCATGCATGTATGTAAAGTTGCCAACTTTACGTGATAAGTCACCCTTAGGACCAGATCTGAGAGTTTGGAGATAGGACTTAACCGATTAAGTGCTTAATGGTGTAGGGTGACAAACTGGGGAGTACGTTGGGCGTACCCAAGTGGTACGCTACACGTAGTAGCCCCAAAAGGAGTATGTTAAGCATACGAGCTGAGTACGCCCCGCGTACTCAACAGATGGGTTATTGGGCTTGATCTCCTTGGTATTGGGCCATGGGTTGGGTTTGTAAGTTTGGGCCTTGTTGGGCCATTAGACTTCTATTTTGGACTTTGGACTAGTATGTTGGGCTTCTTTGGATTTAGGTCGATGATGGGTTTTCGGCCTAATTTGGAAGATTAAGCCATTAATTGGGCTTTGGGTTGTCATTTTGAATATGGGCCTTTTGAGTAGTTGAATTGGGCCTTGGCCTTGGGCCAAGTTAGATAAAGGGTAAAATGGTCGTTACGCTGGTTATGGAAAATAGCTTAGACTCTGGTTTTGGGTTGAGATCTAATTAATAATTGGATGATATTGATATTGATAGCACGAGGATTTTCCAGGCCAGCAACCAAACATTGTTAGAGAGATTCAGCAATTAGAGGTGAGTTTCCTCACTATGTTTAGCGGGTCGAAGGCACCAATTCCGGCCCATGGTTTATTACGCTCGCATGTTACATGTCTCCATGACTCTTGCATGTGTTATGTGCTAGTATGTTTATCGGGCAGGGCCCGATGACTATTCTGTATGCTATTATCTTTGAGATTACCGCATGTGTTTGTATGGTTATATGTTTATATGTATACCGGGTGGGGCCTGATGCCAGGCGGGGCCTGATGACTAATAGATATGTATGCCGAGAGGGGCTCGATTCAGGGGGCGATGCTTGGTGAGGCCCGGTGCCAGGAGGGGCTTGATGACGGGCAGGGCCCAGTATATGTTGGATATGTTTGGTATGTCGTACTCTGGGGAGCTCACTAAGCTTTGTCTTACATTTTTCAGTTTATGTTTCAGGTACATCTGGTTCGAAGGGGAAGAGCGCGGGATGATTTGCAGTGCAAACACCACCTCATTCTGCATTTTATGATTATTCTGATATTTCATGATGTATTTGACACACATTTTTCTAGCTTGGTTTTATGATAATGTTTGGTTACAGTTTTATTAATTTAAAAACGAAAATTTTTGGTCTATAATTTTGGGATGTTACACAGATACCTTGTGCCCGTCGGTAATGGAAACTCATAATGGATACTTCGTTTCTCCAAGTGCCACATTAAAACTCTTCCTGAAGGACGAAGATACAAAGGAACGAATCACACCCGAGTCGAATAATAATAAAGCAGGTAAGGAGTTCACTAAAAAAAGTACCTAACATAAACATACATATGAGTGTACATGAAATAACCCGACATAAATACAATTGAATACATACCGGTAACAACATCGGGTGCCGCCATAGCCTCCTCTGAGGTTAGCTGAAAAACATGCGCTTTGGCCTTCAGGGCCTCATCCCTCCCCTGGCGGCCGTCTGTGATCCGACATCGGGGTCGGTGCCTACACGGGCCTAACAGCAAGCAAGGGATAGTTGACCTTTACATGGCCAACCTAATCATAGTGATAACAAATACACATACACGGCAACGGAGCCTTCTGCTCCTGACGACACTCTCTCACAAAGTGGACCTCCTTTCCACACTTGTGGCACCCAGTCGCTAAATAAAAAAAGACCCTCATACACCTTCCCATACTTGCCACAAGTGCAGCCCCTCTAGCCTCCAGATCCAGAATCAGCGGGCTTAAACCGCTTCATTGTAGGTTGGGTCCGTACTGGGGTCTGCCTCTTCGCTTTCAACTGCATCTCAAGATCAATCTCCCTCCTCCGTGCACATAACTGCAACTCAGTGAGGGTCCGATATTGTTGCATCGCTACAAACTCCCGAATCTCTGTCATTGAGCGTGTTCAAGTAACGCGACATCTGAACCTGCTCCAAAGAAGCATACTTCGGGCAGAAAATGGCTCTCTCTGTGAACATCTTCGTGATCTCCACCATCGACTCCTTTGTCTGCTTGAGTGACCGATACTACAGGACCAATCTTTCTCTCTACCAGTGGAGCATACTCGACCTGGAACATATCTGAGAACTAATCCCATGTCACTGCGACCTTCTCCCAAAAGAATAAGCATGAGTCATCAACTTCCACTAGTCCTTCGCTCCCTAGCTGTGACATCCCCGAATTTCTCGGCCAGAAAAGACCGATTTAATTTATGCTTTTAAAATAAAGTCGGAGAAATCCTTTTAAACCATTATGTTGATGTCATCTTATCAGTAATTCATTATGAATATATTTTCAGGAAATTCTATATGGAAGAAGCAACAAAAAACAAAAATAAGAGTTTAAGGGATGAATCGGATCCGGTCATTGATGTTACTAATGAAAGCAATGAACCAGTAAATGATGTGGACGGTGTAGATGAACACACCCAAAACAAAGGTGGTCGGTCAAAGAGATCCTTTGTGTGGGATCATTTTAAGAAAGTTGAGGATCCTAATGGTAAAGTTAAATGTGACCATTGTCCGCTTATAATGGTTGGTGGTCCAAAACAGAATGGTACGAGTGTTATGTCATATCATTTGAGGAATGTATGTAAACGATCTCCACTTTACAAGAAATAAGGAATGAAGAAACAAGCTATATTAAACTTCAAGCCAACAACAAGGGGGGGGGGGTCTGGGGGTACTTTGGCTTCTCATCACTTCAACCAAGAAAAGGCTCGGAAATTCCTAGCGAGAATGTGTATTAAAGATAATAAGCCATTCAATATAGTTGATGATGAAGGGTTTAGGGAATTTTTTTGGGAAATTAACCCCTTGTTCAAAATTCCATCTAGGTGGACCGTTGCAAATGATTGTTTATCAATACATGAAGAAGAGAAAAATAAGCTTAAAAAACGTCTAAAAATCAAATTGTTTCTCTTACCACCGACAAATGGACATCGGTCCCAAATTTTAACTACATGTGTCTTACAGCTCATTGGGTTGATGGCAATTGGACGTTGAACAAAAGAATTTTAAATTTCTGTCAAATACCCAATCATAAGGGTGTGACGATAGAAAAGTATGTTTATCGTTGCTTACAAGAATGGGGCACAGATCGGGTTTTTACTATAACCATTGATAATGTTTCATCTAACGATGGAGTAATTAAATATTTAAGATCTATGTTAAAGGGATCTCGGTCTATATTAGATTGCAAATATTTGCGTTTAAGATGTTATGCCCATATCATCAACCTTGTGGTGAGAGATGGATTAGATGAGCAATTTAGTACAATTACTAAGATTAGAAATGCGGTTAGGTATGTGAGATCATCTCCTTCAAGGTATGACATCTTCAAAGTGTATTGAGTATGAAAAGATTGATTGCAAAAGCAAACCATGTCTTGATGTAGAGACTCGATGGAATTCCACATTCTTAATGTTGGGAGAAAGTTAGGTATGAATTTTATTGTTTTCATTTAAGTATGCTAATATGCCAATACATAATAATAGCCTAATTATGTTAATTTTTTTTTCAATAGGAATTTTATGGATTTCTTACAAACTTTTTACAATGTTACAAAAAAAAGTTTCTGATAATAAATATGTAACATCAAATTTGTTTGTTGGGAGCTAGTCACAATGCATGTGGCCATATCAAATATGTGTTTAAACAAAGATGACAAAAATAAGAGATATGTCATTGTCAATGAAAGCGAAATAAGATAAGTATTGGTACAACTTGGAAAACATGAACTTATTGTTGCATATTGCATTAGTTTTAGATCCTCGAAAAGAGATGTTTTTTCTTGATTATTGTTTGGAGTTGATCTATGGTACCAATTCTAAAAAAAGCAACGAAGTAAACTAGCGAGTGCTAGAAACTTTAAAGGAGTTATTTATTCAATACAAGAAAATGATGGACAATGAAAATGAGAAAAATACAAGTGGTTCTTCAACAGCTACAACAAGATCATTTAGTAGTTTTGTAGATCTAGATTTGGATGATGGTTATGCTAAATATTTGGAAAATCGTGGAAAAGTTATCAATAGTACCGAATTGGATATATATTTGGTTGATACATTGGAAAAGAGAAAGAAGGGAGATAATTTTGATGTACTAAGTTGGTGGAATCTCAATTCGGGCAAATACCCTATACTTTCTCAAATTGCAAAAGATGTTTTGGGAATGTCAATTTCAACCGTTGCTAGTGAGTCGGCATTTAGTACCGGTGGTAGAGTTATTGACAAATTTAGAAGTTCTCTTACACCAAAGACCGCCGAAGCATTGATGTGCACACAAGATTGACTAGTCCTACACTATCCGATTTGCTAGAGACGACTATTCATGGACTACCATATACTTTCTCAGATTGCAAAAGATGTTTTGGGAATGTCAATTTCAACCGTTGCTAGTGAGTCGGCATTTAGTACCGGTGGTAGAGTTATTGACAAATTTAGAAGTTCTCTTACACCAAAGACCGCCGAAGCATTGATATTCACACAAGATTGACTAGTCCTACACCATCCAATTTGCTAGAGACGACTATTCATGGACTACAACTACAAGAATTGATGGTGAATTTGGATTGAATGAATTATATTTTATAATATCTTTCCACATAAATTTTAACAATTTGTGAAATGTTTTTTATTGTAGATTACTTTTCAAAGGGAAAAAATCATGTAATGATCCGTTCATGGATAAGGAATGAAGATTCAAGATTAAAAGATTTTTTTTTTGCATAACTAGAAATTAGTACAATGGTATTTTTGTGTTTACATTTAGGTCTCCTTTAGTAGTAAATGACTAAATGGTTCTTAACTTTAATAGTAAAAGACAAAATGTTTATTGAATTCGCATTTAATCCATTTATACTTTGACATTTCATTTTTTTTCTTGATTTTAGTAGTAAATGCATTTTCTTGATTTTAGTAGTTGATAGTTTTTAGAAAAATAGTAAAACAACCAATTTTCTAAGCAATGTAATTTTTGTTGCTTATATTTTATGGCAATGAATTTTACTTTTTTTTTATAAAATAAATTTACTTTTTCTAACCTTTTTGGTTAACCAAAATTACCGATAACCACACCTGAATTAACCAACTTAACCATTAACCAAAATCGATTTTAACCCTATACTAATGGTTAACAAAATATATTAACCAAATAATTATGTTATGGTTCGGTTTTGGCTATTAACCGCCCCGTACACACCACTACCGCTCAACCATACATAACGGGCCCCAATCCAAGGAGGAAAAGGGACCAACCCAGACTCCACTGCCCGGAGCTACATCATGTTTTTCCATACAACTGACAGGGGTCAGATCCTAGTCTAACAAACAAACCATAAAATGTCATATGTAATCAGGGATCAAATAGACAGTCAAATAGATGATCCACCCGAGAGCGAACAATCAGACAAGAACATTGCAATAAGATATATGACCAATATTTCTCAGGCTATCCAACTTGGACTACATAGAACCCAAAGTATCACTACCACAGAATCATGTAACATACTCACATAACATATACTAGCATATTGCACACCCTTCACAACTATCCTTCCTTAGTTACCCTGCCATTGACCATTTCTCAATTAAGTCCTTTGATGGTCATCACACAAAACCCTGATAACTAGCCTTCCCCAATTACCCTCACCAAACATAACTCCTAACAATAGCATGCGATTAGCAGACAAGATCGTACCAGCATAACATATTATGACTCCAAGTGTCCTACTCTACACATGCATAACAATGAGTTATCCTAGTCAACTAGCATACCTGTACTCTAATAATACACCTATCCTAACATGCAAAGAATATACAATGGGATACGCGCCAGTCAGAAACTCACCTGAACTAAAGAACCGAAGAAGCACAACAACACTCTAATGCCTTGCACTGCTTAAACTCGTGAATCGACTAACATACATGTACTCTAACGATACCTCTATCCTACCATGCAAAAGATATACAATGTGACATGTGACAGTAAGAATGAATTGAAGAACTGGAGAAGCTAAGCAATACTCTAACGGGTCTGAGTAATTTTTATTACTTATTTAATTAAATAGCATTAACTAAATTATATATATTATATATATATATATATATATATATATATATATATATATATGATGTATTTTCTCAATTGCAAATGAATTTTGAACCAATTTGAAGATACTAATGATCAAAATATAGTAATTTTTGGAACGTTAATTATTTTTATTTGAATTATAGATAATTATACTCATGTTAATTCTATATTCATTATTATTAATTATTAATATTTAGGACATTTTTATATATATATATATATATATATATATATATATATATCTATATATATATATATATATATATATATATATATATATAAAGTGGTTGGTGATATGGCAATAAGAGACCATTTTTGAAAGATAAATAATATTACAGTGATATACACGTAATTGCAAAAGCTGAGACATGTTTGAAAGATTAATTGGCATAACACAAGTATGGATGACCTACATATAATGACAAATAACCTCACGACGTGCAAAACAAACCAAAGGTTGATTCATCTTGCAAACAACTCAAAATATTCAACTTTTTCGAATGGATAACCTTAAGTATAATGACAAATAACCTTAGAACCTGCAAAACAAACCAAAGGTTGGTTCATCTTGCAAATAACTCAAATTATTCAAATTTTTGAATTTAAATTTTGATTCTAACTCGACAGACTGAAAAAGGTTTTGTGATAAACTTCCTATAGACATTTTAAATAGGATTCACCACAATTTATTTAAATCTAGGGCAAACGAAATGAAATAAAATTGACTAAAATTTATTTTACACAATTTTATTGATTTTTGGTTATTCCAAACCATTTGGTCAAGGTTGCTAGTTTGAAATCCTTGATAAATGCTTTAAATTATTATCACTATTTCAAGTAAAAAAATAATATGTGTTGTTTATATTAATAAAAAGATTCTCTATGATCAAATAATGTAACCATAATTTAATAGGATGATTTTAGTTAAGCTAATCAAAAATATGTTTACACGTGTCCTGAGTATATATAATTTTTTTAAAAAAATCGTCAACCCCATTAAACTATAACAATTTTTGTTAGACAGGAAATATTAAAATCAAAAAATGTTCAAATGCTTCCCTATTAATATAGAAAGAAGAGATATTGGATACCTACCTCACTTGGCTTATCTGGTTCGTATTAAATGTATACTTCCAATAGGTCTTGTGTTCGAGGCAGGTAGAAGGAGAGAAGAAGGGAGAAGAAGATTAAAGGTATTCTAAAATACCACTTTTTTACGTGGATAATCATTTTCCTTGCCAATTTCATACGTTCAGTTTCAATAATCATCCATTAATTTTTATTTTATCATCATTATCATATACTTTTTAATAACATCGACCATCATTAATTACCATCTTTCATGAAAGTATTAAGCTCCTATAAGTGGTATTAAATCGTTAAAGATTATGTTTGCCAACCTGAATAAGTATGATTTAGTCGGTTTAATTGGTTGCCGTTTTGTTTTGTTTTTTTTTTAATTTAAAATTTCTAAAATATAAACTGAAATCAAACTAATTAAGCTTCTTTTTGATTTACAGTTAAATCTAAATAACATATGTTAAATTTTTTAAAGATTAGATGGAATAACATTATGCGAAATAGTGGTCTTCAATTAGGAGTGATGTTGTCAATGTTTCTTTTCCAATAAGAGGGTGAAAGTAGTATGATGATCATGGCTGAGTTTAATGAGTTTTTTTTAAAGATAATGGTAATTGCGTTAATTGATTTATTAGTATGCAAAATCTAAGTCCATAGCAGTACACTTTGCCTTTACTTTTTATGCTACCATCATGCAATAAATACACATATTTTATTTGGATATGGTATTCATATTGTAAAAAAATAAAAAAATAAATAAAACATTGCTTCAAACTAATTATTCGGGGATCTGTGGTAATAAATTATTAAAATAATGATGAATATTTCAAAAACAACATTTTGTTATTATGTATACATCATTATTAATAGTATATGACGAAAAAATAAATAAATAAATAAAAACATTGCTTTAAACTAATTATTCGGGGATATGTGGTAATAAATTATTAAAATAATGATGAATATTTCAAAAACAACATTTTGTTATTATGTATACATCACTATTAATAGGTATATGACGAAAAATCGCCTTCTGGTTTCTCGATTGTTCCAAGAGAAATTCATTCAAATATATGGGAACATATTATTTCACAGTCCCACAGAAAAAATAAGGTATTATGCAAACATATTATTAAATTATTATAGATGCTAAAATTAAATTTTTTTTTTTTTAAAAAAAATTGTATCGTTAGTCGGTTTCTTTGGTTAAACCGATTGACGAAAATCTGAACCATAAACTTGATCCAAATAAGGATTCAATTAACTTGTTAAACCAAACACCAAATCGATCTAGGTCAGCCAAATAAATCGTACCTTTTTTATTCGGTTTCAATTTTTTCAACACCTCTTAGGCTATGGGGTATCTGTAATACTAAACACAGGATATTTCTCACTGATTTCTGATGATATTAAAAGGAGCCAAAGTGGCTTTAAATACAAAGAAACAAAACAAACTAAGCTAATAAACTGGAAGACTAGTAAATAAACGGAAATAGCTATGACTTTGTTTATCACATCACGTGTGCACAGCTCCACTTGACCAAGTCTGCTTTATTTGGATTCTTTTATTATCTAACGGACTACTAACTCTATCAAACCCTCCCTCAAACTAGACTAGACTTCCAAGTCTTGTTTGCCTTTGACAGAACACACACCAAGTCTTTCCCTTAGGCATTGAAACACATCACGATGCAGTGGCTTAGTGAAGATGTCAGCTACTTGCTCTCTAGATTCAACATACTCCAGACCAACAATTCTTTTGCTCACCAAGTTTCTTAGGAAATGAAACCTCACGTCAATATGTTTGCACCTGCCATGAAAAACAGGATTTTTTGACAGCTGAATTGCAGAGGTATTGTCACACTTTATCACACTGCTTCCTCTTTGTTTTAAGCCCAGTTCATCCAAAATTTCACGGAACCAAATCACTTGGCAAGCACACGCTGCTGCTGCCACATACTCAGCTTCGGTAGAAGACAAAGCAACAATGCTTTGCTTCTTCGATGACCATGAAACTGCAGCTCCATCCCATAAAATTACATAGCCGGATGTGCTTTTCCTGTCAGTAAGATCACCTGTAAAATCACTATCTGTATAAATCTCCATTTTTCCTTTCCCTC